CAAATACTGACAATAATAATGTCAATAGTGAGACTGATAATAGTTTAAAATTGCGATGGTGGCAACGAAATATATTTGTTCTTGAAATACCAATTTTTTTGATTTATTTTGGCATATATTTATCAGGTGTGAATGTGAAGATTTATTATGACAATATTTAAGATATTAACAAAATAATTCAATTTAATTTAGAATCAGTTTTTAGTAATGAACTGACGTACCGTACGTGTACTGCACTATATAATATTGCTACAGATCAATGCAAATCCCTTTTGGGTAATGCCAATCAAACTAATATAACTGAGGTGAGCTTAATAAAGAAATTTATATGAATTAATAGAAATTAATAAAAAAAATATAAATTTATTATAAAAGTATAAACAAAAACTAATTAATTATAGTCATGCTATCGAAAACTTAACACATTGCTTGCTACAATAATTGAAAACAAAATCACTCATACGCAGTGGGGCACTTGTTTTTTAAGTTAAATAAATAAAGCTACTATAAATTTTCAAATTGTAAGATAAGAAAATATATTACAAATTATTAAAAACAAATAAAATGAAATGTGCTTTGTGGATTTAAAACTTAATTAATTAAAGTTACAAGAATATAAGTAATTATTTAATTGAATTTTATTATCAGGTATATAAAATTATAATAAAGTAAATATAGAAAAAAATTTATTTTCAAGATATTAATTCAATTAATTATAAAAAAAAAATATTTTGGATTTCTAACATTTTATATTTTTAAACTATTAACTATTATTAAATGTTATTATGAAATTTGAAATATTTAAAATGTTGAGTAAGTGAAATAATTTTCAATTTATTTAGTTTGTATCATAGTTCAATAAACAAAATTATTATTAAAAATATTTGGTCATTAGAACAATTATTCAAAACTAATTAAATTGTTTAAATTTATTAATTTTTTATTTTGTTAATGTAAAAAGCGCAAATATTTTGGTCACTTGTAATTATGATTCATTACTTTCAGGGTTACACAATGTAAAACAGTAACTAATATTCTTATCTTTTAAAAGTTGGACATAATTCTTATAGGCGCCTTAGTAAATTCTCAACTTATAAACTGAATACAGTATACGCTCGGTTATGTGAATACTCGATTAAGTAAACATCCCATTATGTGAACAAAAAAATTGGCGAAAAATTTAACACCTGGTATTCTATAGAGTGAACAAGGTGATAATTCAATTATGTAAACAACTAAAAATTTTTATTCTTGGTTTTATTTTTTTGTTCTAAGGCTTACAAATAATATAATTTATCTTAAAAGATGAGCATATTTCGTTTTTGTTAGAATGTTATTTCAATTTCAAGGCCCCAGCTTTCTGATGAATCAGTTACTATATCGTATTTTTTTGTTTTTTCTTATTTACTTTTGCAATTAATGGTATACTGCATAGGCTTTTTTCGCAAAAGGCAGAAATTGATTTCTCAGTCGACATCACAATGCCGGCAAAAGTTTTAACATTATGTGATCGTTATGTGACTTGATTAGAAGTTTAGAAAGTTGATCATCGGTTACATCGATTTCAAAAAAATACTACATATCAGAATCTTCA